GCAGATTCCTTTACTTTTAACCCTTCCAAATGGATGATGGTTCATTTTGACTGCACTGGATTTTGGTGAGTAAAGGCAAAACAAAAACAACACTAAAAGACTGGGTAGCGTGCAAATTGCAAAGTCTTTTTCTGCACAGTTTTTTGCTAAATAGGGTTCATTCTACAATTGACAGGGTTAAAGATAAATACAAGTTACATCAGACCTTCAGTGTTAACCCTGTCTACCTCAGACATCCCAACTCAGGAGCTGCTGTTGATTTCATGGTAAGTTGTTATTTGAGTTGGTACCTTGAAGTCCCTATAAAATATTGAAGCAGTCTGCAAAATTCCTCACAGTATGAAGCATGCTTATCTTATAGCTGGTCTTATTACATACGAGCGTAAACCCAATTATACTGAGATCCTAATGCAAATTAAATAATAAAACTTTGAAGTGAGCCCTAGTTATGAAAATTAATTATAAAAGTTCTTTCAGATATTGAGATTGAAGTACTTTAGATTTTTCATACAGATGGGGATCCAGCCTTGCCCTTTTTAGGTTAGAGAAGGGTCATTTCATAAAAGAGAGATAGGAGTAAGCAATGGAAACACCATGCTCTGAAATAGCAGTAGAATGAATTACACTTTTCTTCTGATTAAAGTATTCCTAGGAGAGCTAAGAGGCATTTCACGTAAGCTCCATCTTACAGCAGATTTCAGTACAGTAAACCAAAAGAACATTCACTGTCAATTGTTTCTGCTATGATCTCACCCTAGTCCTGAAAAGATAATTGTTCTCTTGAAATCAATAGTGCTTTTCACTAGTGTGAGCGTAGAGACAGAAAAAAATGTATCAATGAGCCCCTCTTGTGGTTAAATGGGACTCTGCATGTATTTGTGCAGCTCCTTAGAGGTATTCCTTTATATGTTTTCTCACAGTTTTCCATGCAGTAGGTGTTACTTGAAGGGTCTACCCCATATCAATAGAATCATGGTTTCTGCTCTTGCTGTTTCTAGTTTATTTGGGAAAACATTCAGGAACACACTTAAATATGCAAACTACAGGCACTGAAATGAGCACTCAGTCCTAAAGTGTAAATAGACACATCTTAAATTGATAATGCTCTCTAAGTGCAAAAAGGTGTTGCTACTTTCTCATAATTAACTAAAAATTCCAAGCATACCCAGCATATCCATAGATTAAGGGGAATAGCCAAAATTATTTTTGGAAATAATTGAAAAATATGTAGACATAGTGTTTCTTTGATGGCTATTGCCGAGGCTTAGAAGATTTTCAGTAATACGAAATTATTTTCGTCAACAAATTTCTGACCTGAGTCTGAAGCAACAGAGGTAGCAGTGTAAGGGACATTCCTTTCTGTCGTTCTGCACTCACTGATACACTGTTGTGTTTTCACAGCACTGGCAGATTCCACTGAGTCGTCGATTTCGTTCTTTGAAGCTGTGGTTTGTGCTTCGTTCATTTGGGGTGAAAAAGCTTCAAGCTCATGTCCGACATGTATGTGAATTAACAATGCAAACGTGAATGTGCTACGTTCATTTATTGGTGGCTGAGTTTAATAAATTCAGCGATGCAAAGATGAGCAACAGAAATCCTCTGACACAAAGCTTGCATGTGAACACTAAAAGCATGCTGATTTTACTCTTTAAGTAATCTGTAAAGAATGACTGTAGACAAAACATTTCTTCTACCCTTCTTGGAAGCAACTGGCAATGGAAAGTGACTTGATAAGTCAATGCCTTCAGCACATTGCTAAGTGCTAATCTGCAGCAGCTTTCTTTTAGGCAAAGTGGCAGCTGTTTGGGAGGCCAGCAGTGATGGATGGCTGAACCTATTGCTGTGAAAATTACAGGCTTAAGTCTTTGATGGAGTGTCAATACAAGGGATCATATTGTGGATCAAAGGTTGCCACAAAAATAATCCGAGAAGGCACATTCTGTTTGCAAACCTTCTTCTGGAAAATTCCTACATATAGTCCAATTACTCTTGTTCTTTCTCAAGGGTTTGGGCAAATAGACTGCTAAATTTTTAGCTTTGTTGTAATTCTTCTTTTTGCTAGCATTCGTGCATTTGAATGATTTGTTTTAGTAAGGAAAGGAATTCTTTTGACTACTTAATTTAGTGTCTTTCAGTGCATTTGTGACAAATCAATATATAACTACTTTTTTTCTGTAATTATAGGGTACTGAAACAGCCAAATTCTTTGAATCCTTGGTTAAAAGTGATCCACTATTTGAAATTCCTGCCAAGAGACATCTTGGACTGGTTGTATTTCGTCTAAAGGTAAAGATTGGGCCTTTTGGATATCTCTTTGGAATGAATTGACTACAGCTGATCTCCCCTCAGACATTAAGAACTGCGAATAAACTTTCATGCAAGAATTTCCATGTAATGTTGGGATTATTACAGAAATGTTTGGATGTCCCTGGAAATTCTAACTATAGCATTTTTTCTTTATTTGTATTTAAAACAGGGTCCAAACTGGCTGACAGAAAAACTCCTGAAAGAACTAAGCAGTTCTGGCAGGCTCTTCCTTATTCCAGCAACGATTCACGACAAGTTCATCATTCGCTTTACTGTAACATCTCAGTTCACAACCAGGGAAGATATTCTGCAAGACTGGAACATCATTCAACACGCTGCAGCCCAAATCGTTAGCCAGAATTATGGGTTGCATTGCACCAATTCTGGTGATGGGGCAAGAATCCCTAATATGATAGTTAAGCCTAGTTCTGATGACATTAGTAATGCTTCTCAGCTTTATCTAGATGGAGGAAAATACAAATCACCTTCCAGAAAAATAGTAGCTCAGCCTAAGAAGTTAGCAGTGAGTCCCAGTACGTGTGCGATTAGTCAACAAGTGAAAGGTCAAGGGGATCCTCTAGATGACTGTTTTCCAGAAGATGTCCAAGATGCTACTAAACAAAAGTTAACCTCTTTTTTATTCAGTTATCTATCTGTTGAAGGCAAGAAAAAGACAGCACGTTCCCTTAGCTGCAACAGTGTGCCAATGACTGGTGGTCTTGACCAATGTAACCCCAAAGGAGCAGCCACTGACAAGGAGACTCATGCCAATGCCAGAATTCTTTCCAGGCTGCCTGAAGAGGTGATGATGTTCAAAAAAAGTGCCTTCAAAAAACTAATTAAGTTCTACAGTGTCCCAAGCTTTCCAGAGTGTAGCATTCAGTGTGGCCTTCAGCTGCCTTGTTGTCCTCTGCAAGCCATTGTTTAACAAGTAAAACAGGTTGGTCCTTAAGACCTCCCCAGGTAGAAAGAGAACCAAAGTTTGCTTATTCATATGCAATACTACATGTTATTTTGTTCAATATGTAAGTAGTGGCAATGATCACTGAGAAAATTCCTGTGCTTTTACTGGTGGAAACCTCGTGTATTTATAGATTAAAATGTCAAATAAATCTTGTAGGCATATAACATGAAACTCTGGTTTGTAGACTGTGGTAAACAAAATGTCGATTTCTGCCTTTTCAGCCCTGGTGGTGGACAGTTTCTAGCTAGTAGGCTAGAATCCTATGGACAAAATACACTGGCCTCAGTAGGGGGTAAACAGTTTAGCTTTCTTTGCACCATTGATTTTTTTTAATACCTTGATTTAAACTCTAGATTGCCATGAGGGACTGTGTGTGCAGACAATGCCTATATCAATTCTGAACTGTACAAAAAGGGTGTAACCTCTATAAGAGATTTTGTTGTGCTAGGGCAATCTTAAAACTCACCGAGTCTAAAAACGCAGGAGCCCTGCCATTCTATCTCTGCCCATCAGTTACAGGGCACAGGAGGCTTTATGCAACCATGTTGCAAGAGCAGTTGACCTTGCTTAAGCACCTGTGGCCTTTCTCAGCATTACTTAAGGTCTGTAAATGCCAAGTGTGTGAGGAAAGAGAGCAGAAATGATATTTCACCATTTCTTGAAGAACTAAGGGGCATTACAGAAGGGTCTCTGCAGCAAACAAACTTACTGCTACAAGAGGCCAATGATTTCCATATTTTTCAAGAAAAAAACATGGCAGGGAGAAAAATCTTTTTAGGGCAGCTTTAAATTCAGAAATACTACTGTTGAGTTGGGAAGCATGATGATTACTGGGAAATTATTCTGGGAAAGCGCCGCTAGATACTTGTTGCCTTCATAGTTGTTTCCAGACACCTGCAATCACTCCATCTTGAAGGCAGCATATTCAGCCAGATGGATCTTCTCTCTGACCAAGAGCAAGTTATATAGATGATGAGTCTTGTTAATCAGAACAATTTTCATACCTCTGTACAACATCAGCTAAACTTGTAGTGGGGTATATTGAGGCGTGTTACAAGGAGCCATAAGATTTGGCCTGGTAAGAAGAGATTTATTTTATTCTGCAATATTATTTGTCTTTTCTTAAATCCTAAGGAACTCTAAGACACATTTACTATGCCACTACTCTGCACCTAAAGGAAAATACATGTTAGTTACTATAAATTGTTCTCATTCTATGTATGTGTTACCTGGTGCATGGAAAGTAAGGGCATCTCAGCTGCAATGGATAGAAGTTACTGTAAGCACCTGATACAGATGTTTTTTCATTAGAGACAACTAAGTTTCATTAATGTTCCTTTCTAATGATTTTATTGTTTTGACTTAGGGATATAATTTTTACTAATGCAGTGGATCATCCTTTAATATGAATATAAATGTATTTGCATAAAGATGTCTTACATTTTATCCATTCTCACATGCTTAGATGCACACTGTTAACATTCACAGCATGAATGATATGTCCATACACAGCAGGAAGGTCCATAAGATTCAAAGTTAAGAGAGGAGAAGCCAGGCTAAGACATGAGTGGAGTTGGAGAAGTTCTGCTTTATTAGAACAATCTCACACTCACACTTTATTTCAAGTACTGATATTTGCTAATATTAATCAACAGGATTTCCTGGCAAGGTTAGAATAACAGATGATTTTAAAACTGAATATTATAAACTACAGATATTTTGGACACACTTACAATTTGAAGTCATGTTTTTTTACTGAGTTATATATGTCCCGAGTCATTTGTACATACAGATTTTCTTTGTCATCCAGGAAATACAGGTGATCTTTGATGACTGTGGGATCAAAACCCTCCTCCACTAGTTGTACTTTACGGTACTTGAAAGTTGTTGTAAGTTCAATGGCACTCTACAAAACAAAATTACATCTCTGCTTATCAATGTCAGCATGTAATTGTAGGAATTAGATTAGGTCTCCTAAATTTAAAGGGAATTGTATTTAAAAATACATGCAGCACAGAAGCCTTGCTAGTAGATGTCTATCTGCATTCATCAGGTAATAACGGGGCTGTGGAATATGTGGGCCAGTAATTACTCCAAATGTAAAAAGTGCTGAGGCCACAGAAACATGATCAAAAAGCTTACCTTGCTATTCTATTTAAATGAGGCAGGAAAACACAGGTTTTCAGTTTTTAGTTGGAGGGAATCAAGGGGTTTATCCAGAAAACTTTCCGTTATGTTCTTGGATAAAAAGAGCTGAATTTTTCTCAAAATAAAAAACCAAAGAAATGGTAGTTGGAGACTGGGCAGGTCTCAGTGTAATTTACATGAGATGGCAGGACAAACCACTGCATTGGTGAACTGGTTTGTCTGTATAACTCAAAAGTTTAAAGATTGATTAAATAATTAGACATGCTGGTATATCTGCGTTAGTCCTCCTGAATCATCTCAGTGAATATGCAACTTTTCTCTTAAAAGGGCAAAGTTTATTTTAAATAAATAACTTGAAGTACAGTGAGAGTGACATTCTTGCAACATTTTCCTAATTCAGATTAAATTTCAGTTTAGAATTTGGCTATTTATTCACTGATAGGATAAAAATCTAAGGTCTCTTGCAAACCTTTTGTGTGGGGATCTTTTATTTTGCACAGAACCGTCTGTAGAGGGAGCTACACTAAACTGAGACCACAGCTGTTACTGTGCTAAAGGAATCCAACTGGAAATCTGTTTTCCCCTGAGACCTTCCTGATACTACATGTTAAAATGTGCCAGGTATCCTGTAACTCCTCATGCAACTTTTTTTTCTTTCAGGCTGAAATAAAACATCTGGGCGTAGTTCTAATTTCATACTGGTACATGGCAAGAGCAAGTGAGAGACAAAGACTTTTTGAGAATTGCTAGTATAACTAGGAAGTCCATAGTCCTCATAGAAAAGAAAGAAAAAGCAATGCAGACGGACACACAAAAGCTACTTGGGAACAGTGACTTACCTTGACCCTTATAAAACGAGGTCTTGCATAGTTTGGAAGGTGAGTGGTAACATGTCTGAAAGTACTTTCTCCGTTAAATTCACAGTCTTCCTTTAGTCGGATACATGCCATTCCTATTCTGCCTTCATAACCTGAAGGAATAAAAACAGCAAATAACTGTAGCTCATATATAAGTTTCAACTTCAGGCTAAGCTTCTTTTTTTCTTTTTTTTCTTTTTTCTTTTTTTTTCTTTCTTTCTTCTTTTTTTTTCCCCTTTCTCCTGTAAGTGAACTCTTCTTTTTTCCTTTAGGTATCTAAATGATTAGATGTTCTTAAGGCTTCAGCATGCTATAGGCCAAACTCTTTTGAAAGCCTTGTATCAGAATTATAGCTGGCAGACGTTTTTGAAAATATACTTCTTTAGAAAGACTTTGGAAAATCACATCTCGGGACTCTGAGGCAGAAGTCTGCCTGCAGCAGCATTTAACTATGTGGGTTAATTTAAAATGAATCATGGTACATATGCTTGTGCTGACAAGCTCTTCCATGCAGAGAGAGGACAGTGAGGAATAAGATCAAGTTTACCATTGCTTATTACTATATGAACAACTAATTGAACACTGCAAAAATCCAAGTACTTCAGATTTTTTACTTTCTTAGCTACCTACTGAGAGGGCCTAAACACAAAGTTTTGGTGTTCCTTCTGTTTTCTGGGTAACGCAATTAATGCAAGAAGTAGGTAATATACAGAATTTTACATTAGAACTATATGAATGCTTTCACAGAATTGTGTACAGGAGGAAGTGAAAACAGAGAGTAGAATCTAATGCTTAAAAGTAGAGCATATGTTAAGATAATTGTTCTTCATTTTCTTTCGAGTCTCGTTTCTGTTTGGCTTTAACACCATGTATTGATGGCATTCCAGTTTGTTTATTCAAAATCTAGAGTGTCAAACTAATGAGTTCTCAGGTGGTGTAAACTGTCACCCCCAGCAACATTCTAAAGTACAAATATTTCTGTGCCATGTAAAACAGGAAAAAAAAAATCACAATCGACCCAGTTCTACAGTAATCGCAGAGCTATATTCCTATATGTAAAAGATACAACAATGTTGATACCCAAGATATAATGTTCTTCTATTTTCCTGTTAGTATTCTTGTCATACTATGTAAATACACGCTTTGGCTATGCTTCTTCAGCTAATGAGTATTGCATATGTTTAAATGATGGAATATATGAAATGTAGCTTACAAAAAACAAGCTGAAGTAGGGCTACCTATATTATGCAGTTCAGTATATTGATATTCTGTTAATGTGTTGAAATTTTTTTTTTTGTTTAAATACTTCAAGTATTTCACTCATACCTGGAACAGATACTCCATATACAATAACTTCTTGAACACAGTCAATCAATCCTAAAATGTCTGCAACTTCTGTAGTAGAAACGTTTTCCCCTTTCCACCTGGAAAATAAGCAGCCAATAGTCATGATTTCTATATATATTACTTATAGTGATCTCTAGTGTTTTAGTGCCTGATTTTACAGTGGGCTGAGCACGGAGCTTGAGATCAGAAAGCACCTTTGCACTCAAAAAAGGACCTTGTTATCAGAAGTAGAGAAAAACATGCCACAAAATTCAACACCATGTTCCAGATTATTCAAATCTCAGAAGATTTTAACACAATTTAATTGTGCTTAAAATGGCTGTAAGTAAACAAATCTCCAAAATATGACTTACCTTATATTCCATCCTAGGCTCTATGCTTTCTGAGTTTTAAAAGTATAGTGAATGTGAAAACAATGGTTTTGCTCTATCAAAGTGACTGGTTTCTGACTTCAAAATAGCATTCATTCATGACCTTAAGCTGAATCTCCGTATGTAACTATGAATAAAAGTGATAAAATACAACAGTGGAAGGGACTTGGAGTCCTCCTTTACTGACTGAAATCAGAGAAATTTCTCATTGTTGGTGAGTAGGAAATACTGGATATGGATTCAAACTTGAAAGTGTGTCAGAATTTTCCCTTAGAATTATAGAATGGTTTTGGCTGGAAGACACCTGCAAATTCATCGAGTCCAAACTTTGTCCTAGCCTTGTCAACACCAGAAACCATGTCCCTCGGCACAACATCTTTTGACAAGCATTTCATAAACAAACTAACCGGAATGTGTCTCCAGTTCGATCGTGGAAATAAATGAAGTTATCATTGTCGATCATTAAAAGGTCACCACTATTGAAATATAAATCCCCTTTTTGGAAGACATCTCTTAATAGTTTCTTCTCTGTTTGCTGTTTTGCTCCTGCATAGCCACTAAATGGTGCATATCGTGTGATTTTGCAGATCAGTAGTCCAGGTTTACCTATGAAGAGGAAAAGTATTTGTTTAAAAAGCACAGTGTAGATTTCCAAAAACTAGCTTGTTTTCATTATATCAGTGAAGTCTGCAGATGGTATAGAGTTATTCGAGAATTTTGTCATAATCATCACCTTTTAAAATCAATTGTGGAGATACAAATAGAGTTTCACCTTGTCCCCTCAATTCACTAGCCCTCAAAAATGCCAGTAGGTAATATAATTTATCACCTGCTTGTATTAATGCAGCAGAAGAGAATCTCTGAGGTCTTGTCTAGGAAGTGGAAAATAGTTGCCCAGTTTCTCTAGACAGCTTCTTAAACCTTGGCTTAAAACACCTGGACAAAGCTATGTCTACAAAGTAAGCTTACACAAGGCACCAAGCATGTCATTAGAAAATTACCATTTTTACAGGCTGCTTCCACGTAACTTGGTGTGAGGCAACCTTACCCCTCAATCAAAAGATTCAGTCAGATTTAGAAACCAGATATTGGGGCTCAGCTGGCTTGCTTTGAATGCAAAATAATAGACCAAAAGTCTGCTTAGTGCATTCGTTAGTCTTCCAAGTACTACAACTGGAGTAATTTATGAGGAGAACAGAACACCTATGTTCATGTAATCTGAAAGTCAACCCCATGTTATATAGAGCTTTGCATGGGTGCTACACACTGTAGTGAATTTTATCTCGATACAAAATAAATTACAGTCTGTCCCCATCAAGCCTGGGATTTGACATTATTTTCATGAATTTCTCTCTTACGTTGCAGGTATTTTCCATACTTCTGCAGATCAGCAACTTAAAGATTGGGTATGTTGATATACACACAGAATATATGTGTGCACATCCCTCACCATTTCAACTCAAGGAACTGTGTAGGGAGAGCTGGCAGAGGAGAGTATGCCTATGGGGCAGACTCTCTGTGCATAACTGGTATGTTGCTCAGCAGTGAGTATTTTACACAGTTGGTAACCTGTCTACGGTTCTCTTTTGCAAAGAGAAGGTCAGCCTTTCTGTCCTTGTTCGTACAAACGACTGCATGTGTAACAGAATGCAACAAAATCAAAAAGTATCACAAGTATCTGGTTTAAGCATAGGCTTACTTGTGCCGATATATAGACCCCTCCTATGAAAACTGACACTAAGATATATTATAAAAGAAGTATTTTCATGTGTGCTTTCTCTCTTGCCAATGGCAAATAGTTTCAGCCACACCTGGAAAAAAGAACTGCTTTCTGTTTTGCAGATGTTTCTTTAGTGGAATGTTAAGTTCAAAGTCTGAGAAGAACTCAATAACTCC